GCAAACTGTATTGCTAACAGTATGTCATCCAGGGATTCGTGCATTTAATCTTATTTTCATTTTGTTATCTCAATTAAATTGCTTTGTTTGTAATATATTGAAATTAAATTTAATTGCGAATTAGGTAGAAAGTGACTTTTAAGTAGAAGTAGATTTGAAAAGTCAATATTTTTGATTGAAATTGTGAAAATGGCAAACAACTGAGCATATCAGCAGTTTCAGTGTAATGTCGCTACTGTTTACCAGCACTAAATGTCCTGGGCCATTGCAGTAGTGGAATGTATGGGCTTACTTGTGTAATTGTAATGCATATAAGTTAATAAATGCCCACATAGAATCCATAAGGAGCATTAAAATCACAGTGATATCTATGACAATATGAATCTCCAACAAACAATAATAAAGGATCAATTGTAAATATTCAATGTATTGAATTGCCAGACTGGAAATTGAGTTGCAGTGATGTAATGGTCTTTAAATAATTCATATATGGAGGAAAAGTAAAAGAGGCTGAGCTGTGGAGGAGAAGAAAATCAATGAGGACGAGAGAGCATAAATGAGAAAGACAGAGGTATAGAGAGAGAGAGAAAGAGGGGTGGAGAGAATGAGAAGAGACAGGCGTTTAGGCAGATGGATGGGAACCCCACCCAGGCCTGCTTCCTCTCTGCCTGCTCAGTGCAGTGATAAGCAGCTGAGCAGGAAGTCGACTACTCTTTCATCAGGACGTGAGGGTAGAAGATCGGTTGTATTTGCTGACGAGGAATTTGTGAAGCTCCGGTCTCAGTGTGTGATGAAGATGCTGTAGGTGGGTAGGTCGATTGATGCTTAAGGTTGTTAAACTAGAAGGCTTTAGTCCAACTTTTCTCTTGGCATAGCCACTATTTAAATTTTAAGAGAGCGTTGGTTTTATGTAAGAACTAATGACAGTATTCTTGCTGTCAGCTGTATTTCCATTTTTTGTGTTTTTTCGGCATGCTTCCTCTTTACTATTTCCTGTTTCTCTCTAGCCTTTGTAACAGTGACGCCGCAAACATCTGATGACCTCACAGCCATCTGACGAGCCAAAAGAACGCAAATAATAAAGTGGAGGGTTGATTTTGACTTCCCATCTGACAGACTCTGTCTCCAGCCCCTGAACATTTCAGTCGGAGCTGAGGGATTACTTGCCCAGAGTGTGTATCTGGCTAAGTAATGTAGTTTGCCACCCAAATTGGCTCGATTTGGGGAGTGTAAGTTTAGCTCTGGCATAAAGCTGTATTAGCTTTCCCCCGAGAGGGAGTTGACGTCCCCTCCAGAGCTAGAGGCGCATCATCGAAAAGGAAGACCATAACCTTGAATGAAGGGCCTGACTTGGTGGAGGAGAACAGGCTTCTGACTTGCTGCAGGCTGCTCGGATCTTCCTCACCCCTTTCCAGCTTTCCAACGTACCTGAAAGACCTGCATTTGACCAGCTGACAGCTAGTCCGGTTTGTTGGACATGTGGATGCTGCTAACGCGGTTTTTGCAGCCATTTTGGAAAATCATCTAGTTGTGAGACTTGTAGCTGAGGGGAAGGCCCAGCCATGGAGGGTCTTGAGCAACTTGACATAGTGGGTGATATCAGCCCAGCTCTTGAGGCCACCGAGGACTTTATCCACTGCATGGATGGGATACAAGGCCAAGGTCCGAGCCAAGCTCAGACAGGGACCCTCCAGCCTTCCAGGCAGCCCAAGCAGCTGCAGGAGGTCTCTAGCGCCGCACTGGGGAAGTTGAGCTCCAGCGGCGTGTGGAGCCTGCTGGCTGGAGAGCAGCCAGAGGTGGGGCCTCTAGGCCTGGCCTGGGCTGACAACTTCAGCGTGTTGGGACTGGGGATGGGCCTGAGACATGGCAAGAGAAGCCGAGCTCGCTCCACCAACGACCTGGCAGCCCATACCAAGGAGTGCACCAACAACACCGCCAACTCCTCGTCCAACCCCGCTTTCAAGAAGGGACACAGCCGGTCCAGGTCAGACGTCAACTACCGGCCATCTGCATACACTGACAACGGACTGCCCACTGTGGACTGCAACACTCTGAAGAACATGATCCTCAACCACCAGCAAGAGGGTGAGTTCACATACATGGTGATCATTCAAATCTTTCAGGTCTATGATAGAGCTGAAAAGATTAGTTGATTAATCAATTATTGACAGTCTTTGGGTTTTGGACAGTTAATTAAACAAAACAAAAATGATTGATTTATGATATTGGGTTATATAACTAAAACTGGCTTGACTTGACGAAACAAGCAATTTGGAGACGTCCACTGAGCTGTGGGAGTGATAATCTGAATTTTAGGCCTTAAAAAGCCCTCAGTATTATTTTAAATTCCATTAACCTACATTGTATTGAGGTAGTGGCCGAAGTCTCAGCGACAGATGTATCAAAACCTTGAGAAATTAAGCCCAAACTACTCTCAGTAGTACTATCATTAAAGCTGAGTGGGAAAATATCTGTTTTCTAATCTAGGTGACCCTTTAATCGCATTACATTTGCCTAATTGGGCATTTGTGGCATGAAGAGCCATCGTTGCTTTGTCTCATTAAAGATGATGCCACGTCCTCTGGTGACCAACTCATTAAACCTGAAGTAATTCTTAGCCAACAGGCCGGTCACTGTCAGAAACATGCACACCTCCTCCTCCTGTACTCTGATCGACTGTCCATTCACTGGAAAGCTTCCTCAGCCTTTGAGAGGCTTTCGGAGGACAGAAGTCCTGGACTATTTGTTCTGCAGATCGGGGCGTACGCTGTACTTATGTTGAAGCATCCTCAGAGAAAGCAATAATGATAGAAGATGATGATAACTTGAAATGACACAGCTGTGCTATGACAGTCAGTATTCAGGCAGACAGCCCAACACACACACACTCACACCATTTGTTTGTGTGTTTTGGCCATCTGAAGGCCTAAGGAGATCCTAAGGGATCCTGAGGGATAATAGCCCGTAATCCTGTCAGCAAATGGACTCAAATGAGGCGAGAGAAGAGGCAACCCAATTACCCGCCCCCTGATACTGGCAGGATTATTTAGTATTAGCATATGTGTGAAAAGGCATCAGGCTATTTAGTTTGGCTCGATGTGTATTGAAAGGACAGAAGTAGGAAGAGAAGGAAGGTAATAAGCAGAAGGCAGAATGATTTAGCTCGGCCTCACTATGTCTCTTCATTCACATTGAAAAAAAAGTTGCCTGTTCCATTAGTGACAGCTGGGGATGTTTAGATGGTAAATGGAAATGATCATCATTGTTATATACACAATATGCATGTATATATGGGACCAAACAGGCTGTATCTGTAGCTTTTATTAAAGCTCTTCTATGTTTTCTAACACCTCCAACTGAATGGTAAAGGCTGCATTCATCTGTTTGTGTATTAACATACTTGTATATGATAGGTGTAGTTTTGGGTGCACCTTTTGTTGCAAGCATTCCTCAATCATTTAAAATTCATAGATCCATGCAAGAAAATAGCTTTTGTTGGCAGCTTTTAATGTTAAAATATGCACCTGTTAATGAAAATGTAAAGAGTGTAATGACAAGCTTGTGAAAGGGTTAAAACAAGTTGGATTTAAGGATTTAAGCTTTAGTTTTTTAGGATTTTAGCTTAGGACTAGTCCTCTGAATGACGAGACACTAAAACCCCCCACAGTATTGTCATAAGTCATTTATGCAACAGAAATGCCAAATATTAGCTGGTTCTGGCTTCCGAAATATAAGCATCTGCTGCTTTTCTCCGTTTTATTGCAAATTGAATGTCTTTGTGTTTTGGACTTGGAAAACCAATTTGAAGATATCAGCTAAGTCAGTAATTGGGGCTTTTTCCCTGTTTTCTGATATTTTAAAGTCGAAACGATGAATACTGGTAGATTAATTGGAAACAATCATTACACGTGGCCCCAATTTTAAGTAAAAAGAAAATGTGATTGTTTTTTAAAGAAAAAATAGTAAGCCACGGGTATTAAATATGACAAAGTAGTCGGTTTCTTCTTTTGAAATGTAAGGTTGCATCTTCATCATACTTTGCGCTGCCTAGAGCCCCAATCTGCTTCTGTTCATTTTCATTTGCATCTTTCTGCTGACTCTGTATGTACGCTCATGCTTCCTCTATGTTTCAATTCCTGCACGCACTGTTATACGAAACACACGTCCTTTCCACTTAAACTCTGGCCTTACTCAACGTGGGGATTTACCATTAGTCCCAGATGACACACACACACACACACACACACAAATGCAGCTTTAGATATTGACGTTAATGTGTAAGGTCTAACTTACGGAAAAAAATACACATGTTAGTATACAGGTCCTGTGATAGGCTGGCGACCTGTTCAGTATGTACCCCTACTGTACTTTTCACCCAGTGCATGCTGGGATATCTTTCTGAATGGGATAAGCGCTGCAGTGTAGAGTGGACGGTGTACCTGTGTGTGGCCGCAGGGGCTTTTCATTTGCAGTGAATGTGTACTTTGGTATGCAGGAAACCTTGGGAGTCTGTTAGATTGCAAAGCAGCACGTAGTATTATGATTGGCTACCTAATCAGTGGGAGAGGTTGCTTGTTTAAGTCTGAAGCGGAGGCTTGCGTCTTGTGTGACTTGAGGGCAGCGGCATTGGATGGTGAGAAAAGTGTTAATTGCGGTTGAAGGCTTGCATGTGTATATAACTGGAGGGTTGATGTCAAAACCTACCAGGTGGAGATGAAGGATAATTGAACAGAGCAGTTTTTCCTCACCACAATGCCTAATTCTCATCTCTACCCTCCCAAGCGTGAAGACTGCCAATCAGCCAGACTTGATTCCGGCTAAATGTATTTGCATAATTCATTTGTTCCTTTTGTAAGGTTTGTTAACATGCAAAGTTCGAGACCTGGAGTGACACCGTGTCTACTGCTGTTTTTATAAGATTGATGAGGCACTTGACTCACCGCCATCTATTTAACAGGCGCTGTGAAGGATTTAGCTTTTCCTTTTTCTTCCTTGAGTGATTTAGCACGTTAAAGAAACAAAATGCCAATTAGACTGGCCCTGGGGGGGTTTACAATTAAATCAGTTTGTGGGATTGGTTTAGGGAATGGGAATAGGTGATTGTTGTTATTTTTAAGTAAAGCTGCCTATCCATTAGAAGACGCCTAGATATTTAAGTTAAAACTGCGCTAAATTAGTCTGAAAAGCTGTCAGGTGACAGTACCAAATTAGTCTGTTTGCAGACAGCTCATAGAATCGACCACAGCCCTCAGTCTTTGCTGCGCCGTCTTAAGTCCCAAAGATTCATCTGTTTGTCACCAGTTTCATACTCTAGCTTGTAGTTTTTGCTCTGTGCAGCAGGTGCATCTCTCTCTTCCTCTTTTTATTGGAGGTTGGGTTGAGATTGAACTAAAAAAGGAACCTTTGTCCAGTGTTTGGTTTCTTTGGGTGGTGACGTGAAACGCTCGGTGCGTAAACCGCTGAAATGTGGCTAAAGGTCCCAAATATTCCTTCGCAGGTCACTGGCATGTGGTAAAGATTGTTTTTCGAAATGATTCGGATACCTGATAAGCTGAGTCATTGCTCCACCTCGAGTTTGACCTTTGTATGCACTCTTTGAAATGCCTACACAGGTCTGCAGGTGTATGGACTTCAACAAAGCATTTATGGCTGCAGCTGATTTAAGGTTTAAATAAGAATTGTTAATACTATTAATGCTCTTCTCTTTTCGCTCTGATTGTGATGCTCAGTTTGAAAAGTATCATTACAGTATTATTATTATTATCATTACAACCAATATATCTCTTGCACATATATTGGTATAGGCAAATATGATGGTGGATATTCAGTGAAGTTACTGAAATATCTTTTCATCAGCATATCAGAAAATGTGTTTAGGTATTTGCCCCAAAAATCCTGTACCTGTCAGGCTTTAAGCATTATCATTAGTTATACTTTCACCTTTTAGGTAAAAGGTATAGAGCTATTACGTGCATTTTGGGTAAAAGGGGAAGTTTTACCAGTGTATTAAACGTTTTGTTCAATAGGATAGATTTGCTGTTGGTTGGCATCCGACCAATATGTTTTTTAGGCATTTTTCTAGCAGGGCAGTGAATGCAGCATAGCTCATAATAAAGACTGGCCCAGTTTTATGTCCCTAGCAGAGGTCATGTCTGTTGTCTACCTGAGTCTGAACCCTCCTTAATCAAGGAGAAAACACACCATAATCACAAGAGGACAGAGAGGAAAGGAGGGAAAAACCGACCCCCTGAGCAGCAGAGAGTGAAACAACAGAGAGAAAAGGCCAAAATAGAGAGAGATGGTTCCGACAGTCTTAAGATTAGGAAAGTGGGACAGTTTGCCTAGTGGCCTCTTTAACAATACTCTTTCTTCCTGCCTTGGTGACAAGAGAGGTTCTCAGAGGAGCACCTCTGAACACCCACTCACCATTATCTCTTAACAAAATACAAATGCTCCTCAAGCCTCCGATAAGCTAACTTGTGTAGGAAACTTGCCCATCTAGATGAAAGTTTCTGACATTAATAAGAATTGTAGGGTTCAGGCGAACTGGGAGAAAAAGAGGCATAAAGGCTGAAATATATTTGTACGTTGGCTCTACGTTGAGCCTACACAAGTTACCTGCACAGTTATGAGCATTTATACTCATGCAGTGGTGTGTCTGCGTTCCTTTGCAAATAGCTCCACCAAAACGCTAGTTGGTGGTGGGGTTTCCATTCCAGTGTGTTGAGTGTCGACTGAAACTGAAACTCTCCCTTGTCTCTCCTCAATCTGTCTTGTGTTTTCTTGTCTGCCTGTGAAACGAAAGGACGAGGGGATACAAGAGGACAGACGAGCACGTTATGCAGCAGTGGTCTGTCTGTGTCGCTGCAGGCTCGGGTACATTTCTGGAGAGGTGCATGACGTAGGGTTTGAGGCTGCACCTTACCAACTACATTTGGTTCAATGCGAAAGTAATGTCTATCACCGCCTCTCACCAGCAAACTTCAACCAATCAGATCAATAACATATAACGTAGGCAAACTCCATCTGAAGAAGAGTGAAAACATCTTTTCCATCAAGAAAAAACTTTAAGTTTTCATAAGATCTTTGCTCTTATTTCAATGTAGAAATACTCTCCAGTCATGATATAACTAAGCAGCATCCATGCTAACCTCAATGGGAGCCAACATTGTTGGTTTTTGAATGAACAGTCACTCTTCCCACACATTGTCACACATGCCTAGCATTAAACCACTCCTGTAGCTCAAGCTGTACCTGCCAGTAGTTTTTTTTTTTTTTTACAGGACTCTGATTGGTCCGGTACCACTGTTGTTCGGACACAGTTGTACAGCTAGAAGCCTGGCAAGATTGATTATTCATGATCTTGCTAAGGTCAAGGACTGTCAGCCTCCTGAATTTTTCTTCGAAAACAAGTGCATCTCCTACACCGATTGAAATTCTTAAGTAGCTTATTAAGTACATTTTCATGTAGATTAAAATAACAATTACTGTTAAAGTGAAATATTATTATTATGCTTATTCCATATTTTTGTCAAATAGAAAACATCAGAAGGACTGCACTAAAATATTAGAAGTATATAGCAATTAGCAATCACTGAAACATCCAAGAACTGCAGCTGCCAAGGATTAAGCTGTCAAGTGTTTTTTGAATGGAGTACTCCTTTAAAGCTTATAACTGATCTTTGTATTTGCTACAGTCACATGGATCCAGTGACAAGGTATCAATATCAGCATGGTCAAAACAGGCAAATATTTAAGACATAAGACATTGACCCGTTGTGCCTACAGAAGATCAGATGACCTGTACCAATGGGAATGTTTTTATTCAGAATAAAACAGCTTGTTGTCTCTTGAACACACACATTATTCCTCTGTGTCTCATTTCTCCCTATTTCCCCCCTTACTCTGTATCTCTGTCCAGCTGATAAAAGCAGCAGTGGCAGCGTAGTGAAGCAGGGTCAGATGGAGCAGCGCGAGGGGCCCCGAGGCCGCTGGACACCCTGCCATGTCGAGCTGACACCCTGTGAGCTCCGTCTGTACACTCTGGACAGCAGCGCCAACCGCCAGCTGGGCACCGCCTACTCCCTGTCACACTGCCAGAGCGTCATTTTCCCAGCTCCATGCAGCCAGCCCGGCCAGATCACTCAACCCGCCGATCAACGCACGCTCCAGGCTTTGTTCTTCAACAGCACACGTCTCCAGCTGAGGGCGGCCAGCCAATGGGAGGCCATGGAGTGGAGACGGCTGATGTGGGAGAAGGTGCAGGCAGCCAGACCTGTGAGGCAGGAGAACCGCCAGCGTAAGAACGGAGCAGAAAACCAACAGGTCGCAAAGTTCCCTGCACCCATGTCACCTTCCTCGTCGCCATCTCCATCTGGGCTCGACACTAGGCCTGATGGGGACAGCGACACCCCCACCTCGGCGGAGGCATCGCTCTCTCTCCAGCCGAATTCTGGCATCCTGAGCAGACCCACTACCTTGCCTCTGTTTACCCAACGGTGCCAGGACGTCCTCAAAGCTGGTCTGCTCCACCAGCTGATGGATCAGAACAACTGGCGGGCCTTCACCTTCGTCCTGACCAGATCCAGTCTCCGGGCCTTCCCCACCGAGGGCCGTGGGTCCGTGTCCCAGCCTGCCCTCCAGTACTCCCTCGCCTCCTGCTTGGCCGTGCAGCATGACCAGGAGCCGGAGAACGGAGAGACATGGACAGATAGAAGGGACTGCTTCCAGGTAGTTTTCCCCAAAGATGTGCTCAGACTTCGGGCAGACGATCAACTCAAGGCGCAGGAATGGGTGGAGGCCCTGCGGGATGCTGTCGGGGCGCAGAAGCCTGCCCAAGAAGATGGTGGGGGATCGGGAGAAGGTGCTCCAGGCCTCCAAGTAGTGCTGTTGAGATCAAAACCATCCAGGGAGAGGAGACAGCGGGAGGCCCAGAGAGCCAAGCGGCAGTCAGTCACCACCAGTTTCCTCAGTATTCTCACCTGTCTTGCTGTGGAAAAGGGGCTCACTGCTCAGAGCTTCAGGTGTGCAGGTAAATGACCTTCACACTCACACACACACACACACACAGGCTCAGAAGAAAAGAAGATGACATGGCAGTTAGAGTAAATATTAGCCATGATTTTCTCTATTTTGCATGTTTCTTTTAGCTTAATTAGTTTGTGTGTACATTGGTCACATTTCACAAATTTACCCACTTAGGTTAGAAATTTCCGCATGGCATCCCAAATCTCAAGACCTAACTGGCCAAAACAGTATATTGAAGGTGGGTTTCTTTGTTTGAGTCCGAAACAGATTTCAATTATACCCTCAAACCCTGCTGGCATGCTTTCACTCTTCTCCTGATACATGGTCCTGTTGTGTAGCACCTTCATAGAGAAAGTATGACTTTACTGCCATAAGATTAGACCCTGTAGCTTAGGGGTTAAGCTATGGCGCGCATATCCCCAGTTCAAGTCTGTTTCCTTCAGACTGAATGTATTTATAGATAGTACACAAAAGGTATCAATGCAGGACAGACTTATTGGATAAAACTAAATCTGAAGCTGTGTTCCAAATCCACTCCACTGTTCATACTATAAATCCTACACTTTATACTAATCTTTATTTGGCAGATAGCATACACAAAATTAATGCACACTACTGTTTTGTACTATAAAGAAATTAAACACAACGTCCACCAAAGGACATCAAACTTCACTGCCCACAATTAGTTTCTAAAATTTTGTTCATTGTTGTGCTGCTACTTTTTAATTCAAATTCTTGCTTTAATAATAGTTTTCTCTGCTTTATGTTAGAAAACCAATTACAAATATTCACCCTGATCCTTCAGACATTTTTAAAAGCATAAAAGATACTCTGCTTTGAATAATAATTTATATGATGTGGTTTTTCTACCAAAAAAGCTCTGTTACTTTGTTAAGAGATCTGTAAATTATCTCAACTCATTCTCCATAATCTATTAACTCATTAATTATGAATATGCAAATCTTTTTCATTGCAAAGATTACTACTGGACACAAAATGTCTTCTTTCTCAATGGAAAGTCCATGTATGTGAACTAGAGGCTTCATATTTCCACACTGAACCACGATTGGCATCCAAATGAGTTGTGATATTACAAAATCCTGCTTGTACATGTTAATTTTAGATTTAAATGAAGCACAGAGAAACTTGCTCCCTTCAACAGGTAAATGTGAAAACAACCTTCTATAATCAAGGACTGATTTTGATTCTGTTTTATTCAATATGAAGCTAAAAACAGTTGAAATGTATGAAGGATGCTTTCTCTTTGAACACCTTTTGCTGTCAGTCAGCGATTTTGGGTGTTTCTTAGTATTTAGTCCGTACCCTTTTTCACATCCTGAACCATTACAGCCTCTCTCCCTCCTTTATTGCTGCTCCTGTTAGTCTCCATACCAGGCCCTTGGACAGCCCCATAAATGGCAGGCGGTGCTTTTACTCTCCCTGGGTGTGAAACGTGGGCTTCCTCTCTCTCTCGTAGGAGGGCTTTGAATAATCACCGCTCACCTCCCTTTTTATTTGTAACAACTGGCTTATTAATGCAGGGCTGTTTGAAAGGCCAGCTGAAACAGGAACAAGGACAGAGGCCGACTGGGGGCAACTGATGATAATTGGTAGGCTTAAAGCACCGGAGGAGAGGAAAAATGGATGAATGAATGAATGAGAACGAATGAAAGCCGCCTGGGGATGCTACAGTGGTCAGGCTTGATCGTAGTTGTTTGATTGAAGGGTTTCTGGGTAGAGCTGGATGGGAGGGACAGCTGGATACGTCCATTTTCTATACAGAGCACACCTCTGCTCACTCAGTCCGTTTATTTCCCTACTTTACCTCCCTTTCTTTCTTTATCCTTTCACCAGTTCATTCAGACTCACAGCCTCTCCCTCTTTTTGTCTCCCTTTCTCCCTCTGTTCGCCCCTCATTTATTTGACTGTATCCCTTCTTAGTCTCCTGCAGTGTTACTCAGCAGATTCTGAAAAAAAAACTCTTACACACCGTTTAAATTCAAGGCCATAAAATTGCATTTAAGTCCACAAGTTATAGCTCGAGTTCTTGTGTTTTTATAGGTTCATCGTTTTCACTTCCATGTTTTTTTGAGCTGGGAAATTGGTTTAAATTTCACTCTCACCAGCTTTAAAATAAAAGCCTAAAATGTAACTGTAGACAACGTATCTCCAGCTTTACTGTTTTTCTGCCCGCTGTTCTCCCCTGGCTCTCACCCCTCCTTGGTAGCATGCCAAGCTCCTTTTTATCTAAATGCGGCCTCTTGTATTACACTTCAATTATTCTGTGCTAAACAAATAAACATGGCCTTTAAGGTGCACTGTCAGAGGAAGAACTAGTCAAGGGGAGTGTAGTGAGAGGATTGAAAGAAGAGTAAGACTGATACTTGGTCTTTTTCTTATGCCAGGATTCAAGTGAATCCAACTGGAACTGAATTAAAGAATGGAGAATGTAAGGTTGTGTATATCCCAGAGTTGTTGTTGTTGTGGTTTTGGTCTTTTCATGGAATTTGTTGAAAATACCAAAAATCCAATAATGCCAGCCTCATTTTTAATTCCTTTTTTTTTTTTTTTTTCCGTAAATCCATCAGCCCCATCAAGCCCCATAAGCTTAATTCATCAAATTCATCCTCTGTTGTTTACCGGATCATTCATATATGAAGCCACTAATCTAAACAAGATCTCTTGATGTTCAGTGTGCTACTTTAGTGTCCACTGATCCTTCTTTGAACTTGTTTCAAGTCTGCCCTTTGCATATGCATGCTACGTTCATCCATACATATCGAGTGATTGGTTATTTAACATCAAAATGTAAAATGTATTCAACTAATCACAAATGGGAATTGGTGCATTTTTGATTTCTTTTGAAGGAAACGGTTAGTGTTCGTTTGAAGACCGTGACTCCCCATCACCCCTCATCACACACACACACACACCCACACTGTGCAGAGTGTGTCCTCGGGTTTGGTGACCCCTGTTGTTGCACGGGAGCACATTCTCAGGCCCCCGACAGACCATGTGAATCTGTTGGACAGGGGGGCTTCGGGTGAAGTGGGAATCGGTAGATATGAGGGAATCGAGGAAGTAGGAGGTGGGCTCACATCAAAAGATAGACAGTGTCTCTCTCTCTCTGTCTTTCTCTCTAACTCTAACACACGCACACACATTCACTGTCTAACTCACAGTACTCTCAGTTTGTGCACATTTTCATTGGAGTGTTTGGTCTGTGTGAATGAGACACATCAAAGCTCAGGCTTCTCTCGTCTTTTCAGTTTTAATTCACACACATGTACATAACACACACCCGCGCGCACACACTGTTGTCCTCTCAGAGGTGTGGTGGTTTAAAACCAGCGGCGGGCAGATGAAAGCGGGAGCCCCTTTTTGCCCTGATGTCATCTCTCTCTCCCTTTCTGTGTCTCTGTGTCTCTCTATCTCTCTCTCTCTCTCTCTCTCTCCACCGTACACTCACCCTGGGCAGGTCAAAGTGACCTCTCTCACTACAGAGAGCTGCAGTACAATCGGTAGACCTTTGAGCTGCGTTTGAATTCCCATTCATCTTTCCCTCTGTCCCTCTTTCTCTCTGTCCCAGAAAGACCCATAAAAGATCAGAGACAAGTAGAGAAAGCAGTTGTTAGTGTGTGCTGATAAAGGAGGAAGTAGTTAGCAGCAGAAAGTATTAATAGTTCTTAATTTTAGAAAGTAGCATTCATGAGGGTTGCAGTAGTTGTGTTTTGGTTGAAAATGGAAAAAAGTAGTGTTCGTCAGTTCTAAAAATGGAGAAAATAGCAGTTCAGTGTTGGTTGTAGTTGGTGACATGTGACTGTAATCGACTGTAAGTAATAATAACAGTAATGCTAATAAAAGCAATAGTTACACATCAGGTATGGTGGCTTATATCTTATACAAATATTTATTGTGGCCTTTTGTTTGTATTGTTTAAGTTATTATTATTTTGGAACTAAACAGATTATTTTTTACTGACAATCTATCAGTTATTTACTTTAAACATTCTTATGTATATTTACAGATACTTTATTTACTGTCTTACTTATATATTTTATCTACCTACTTAAATATACTTTGTTTACTTACAAACATATATACTTACACCTGTACAGTCTAATGCAGTTTTTTGGTGCTTTTGAAGTCTTAAAATGTTCCCTCTGCTCAATGAGTTCCTGCAGGGTTGTCTCCGTTTTGAGGTTGTTTTGTTGCTTCTTGAGGTTTTGGTCAGGATCAGGTCACCATAAGATTTATATGCTTGGTGTTATTTTATTCTTTGTCTTCTTCCACAGTCCCACATGCATTATCTGTTGAGGTTTACTGCTTGTTTTACTGTGCAGAGCACGTTATAGGCTGCCTCAGCTGTGGTAGAAGTACATTTGCCTGTGTGTGTGTGTGTGTGTGTGTTGGTGGGTGTGTTCTCTTCGAGTCATGATATAGAATTTGAGGTTAAAGTTAAAGGTTGTTATTTAGTTTGCGGATGTTTTCAAGCTACATACGTATGTGTCTTTGTTCCTCTGGTCCCAACAGCAGCAGACCAAAATCGAGGCCACAGTTGGCCAGAAAGCCGGCCCGGTGGTCAGCTCTTTCCTCGAAGTGACACAGTGTTTCTCTGACTGTTGACCATCCCCTTTGCCTGCTGGCTCTCAACCAGTGGACTGTGGTTTTTTTGAAAGAGCATCCACCCCAACAACAGCATGAGCTCACTGCTGTAATTAGCTGAAATCAGAGTTAGACATATGTATTCGATCATGGGTTCTTCAGAAAGATAAGACTTTTGTTGTTGTGTTTTTCAAGCTTATCCACAAGCAATTATTTCATTTAAAGGAGAAACAAATTTTCATTCTTTAAACTTGGAAAGTGGTGAGTTTGTAAAGTTTAGCCCTATTCTTAAAGAAAATATTTAAAGCCACTTAACTCCACGTCCCTCTGAAAAAGCTCCAGACAACCCTTTCCTAAACAAAGGAAGAGTGAGTAGAGCCCATACAGCGGCATAGCTTC